TCAAACTTTGGAATGGCAGGTTGCACAAACTGGTCAGAGTTCTCCATCTCTCACTCTCACTCTTTGATAATGAAAGGCTCTTCTAACCGAGCTCTGATACCACGTGTTTGGTATCAAAGACACACACAATATAGAGAAAACACTCAGTTATGGGGCTAAATGCTTCATCTTATTAATGCCACTAGAATGGTTACTTAAATACACGTACAGGGAAGAAACAACTGAACAAGAAAGGGAAACAAACTCTTAGTCTATAGGAGGGGACTAGAATAAATCAAAAATAAACAAACTCTTCCTGTAAAACAGGAACTTATTCAAGTGACCACGTTTAACACATTCCAACAGTGATTTCAATATTCTGTGTAGTTTAGGTTTTCACAAAGTGGTAGCTGAATCTTGAAAATTAGACGAGACTGTAGTTATATCAGGAGGTGCAAAATTGAAGTTCCAATTGTGGCAACACATTAAGAGATGATCGAGGTCGAGTTAGCATGGCACAATGAGACATTTTGAAGTTATCTTGTTTGCAAATTACTCTGACAATAGTTTGTGACACTGCCCTTGTCACCTTCCTTCTTTGTTTGATTGGTTGATTGATGAAGCATGAAGGCAGACGATGTCAAAATGAACTGTAATGTGAAGTCTGTTTTTTTCTTTTTGTTTGAAGTTATCTTGATATTCTTGGTTGATATTTCAGATATGATAATTCCAAACTTATTTTGAGGGTATTCAACAAAAATATAATAACCCAAGTTATCTTTTCAGGGTTGCTCAGTGATGTTAAACCGTAACCGGATTTCTTCTACAATCGTGTGAATCACTTTCCAAATTCGATATTTCGACCGTATATGCCTGGTATCACGAAATCCGAATTGGGATAATTGTAAAAGCAACAATCTTGATTTTGGCCGAAATCAAGATCAAAAACCAGAGAGAATATCGAGTATGTCCAATCTTCCGTGTGTGCCCAAAAAAACTGATCATCCGAAATTAGATCCCAAAACTCAAAACGGGAGTTACTAAGTTATAGAATTCACAATCATGCCACAGAAAATTCAAGAATTTTTCATTATAAACCCTATACTTATATAATTTCGGGCCGGGCCGCTGCCCCGCACCCCGCTAGTGGCTCTGCCCCCTAAATATTACCGGGACCGACTTAGACTAATACAAGTGTGCACTCCACACTCTCCATACTTGTTTTAGAACAAAGTTCAATCCCCTTGAAACACACGTATGAAATCCATTACACTAAATGTAACCGGTGACACTAAAATCACCAACAAGTGATTACACAAAGCGTGAAGAATTAGCAGCGTAAGCATTCCAATATTCATATAATCTTTGTCTCACTTAAGTAGACCATCACATTGCAAACACTTGACCCCAGGACTAGAAACCAAATGGACTTGAGTATTTAAACACTATCTGAAGAAAAATAAAACCAAGACAGATGATAGTTGTATTAGAAGTGTATTCATGCAATTGAACACGATACATCTTGATGCCAAAGCCGAAAATTTGAATCCTTAATACTGATTAATGCTTGGTTCTATTCTCCATCTTTCTTGATTTGATTTGATGGTTTAGGGTGGTTTGAGAGAGTTTTCAGTTGGTTATCAGTTTTATTCAGTATTTTGTTGTTTATAGCCGGACACGCTTATCAGTTATTTTATGAAATTCAAATGTGGAGCTTTAAAAAGTACGAATACAAAGTTTTGAACTTGAATTTTTAGAGAAACATGAGGCAACTGTTTTCTAATATAGTAAAATATTAATATGAAGTTGTAAAATGTTGCATAATAAGAAGAAACGTGATCGAATTTTTGAAAACCCGGTTTAAAAAATTGAAAAAAGTTATATCGATATGGTTATCCAATTAAAGAGAATAAATATTCCTTTTTCTTATTTAATTTGTGTAATTACAAAATTAATTATATTTAAAATAATTTAGATTAAAAAAATGAAGTAAATTTATGGAGTTTATCGCTTGGTTATCAGTTTTTTATGGAGTTTTAAGAAGTTGCATATCTATACTATATTATAAAGCATTTGACAAAAACTCTTAAAAATAATTTGTTATACATGAAGTATTATTTGTTGATGCATATTATTTAATATGCAAGACTACAAGTAATTTTGCGTAAGTACAACTTATTAAAGCTTCATTTTTAAATTCGTGCAACTAACTGTAAATAAGCATAATCAAATACAGGATAAACATTCATTTTAAATAGAGAAAATCTAAAATATAATTAAGATAATCATTGAGTTTTAACAGAATGTTTAATTATTATCTTTATAAAAAATTATACTATTAAATCAAAAATAAATTACTTTGTTATTAAATCCAATTTAAATCATAATAAAAAAATTGAATTAAAGAAGTTACCAAAAAAACGAGAACTATTAAATAATTAATTTTATAGTAGTATCGATTTAATTTTTTTCAAATTTTTATTCTATCTTCAAATTTATATTTCATTCAAAAATTAAAACATTATTATTTTTCTCAAAGCCACATAAAATCGTATTATATCAATAGAGACAAAATAAAAACTAAACATTAAAATCGAGATTTATATCGCTGCAGTGTGCGAGTACCCTTCTAGTACGGTATAATTATTTATGACCTCGAATTTAAGATATTTGCATTGATAAATAGTACCTACTGCTCAAGAGTTCTGCCAAATGCTTTAAAATATGGTTAACATATGCAACTTCTCTTCACTTATCAGTTGTCACTGCATCTTTATTGTCATCAACATCCTATAAATCTATGTTCTCTCAGAGTCATAATTTATGTTAATCTATTTCATGAGTGTTGTTTTGCAGTTGGGATGATCACATACGCTTCCTGAAAGAAGTTGTCGAGATCTTGACCCGTTTCATGTATTTGATGTTTGAAGAACAAACTTCATGTGTATCAGGTACGTGTGGGTTGTCATTTTTCATGCTGAACCAATTGAGTAATCTTAGAAGTTCCTAATGCAATTATTTCGGTATTTCCTCTTTCAAACTTAGTCCCTGTGAACGATTGGTATTTACTAGAGATGCACAAGGCTCGGCCCTTCCAAACCTGTTTTTTCAGTAAGCAAACCCGGGGTGGGATTTGGGGTTTAAAGAATGTCTGATTGGGCTTTTTCAGGCTTTTTTGGGCCGGGCTATAGCCCAGGCTTGAAAAAGAAAGGGATAAAATAATGATTAAAAGGTATCATGGGATGGAGCTTTACACCCATAAAGCTATATAAGTGAATCCGAAGACATGGTGCATAATCATCTTATGACATAAAATAGTGGGTAAGAGTTGGTTCAAGTCATCTAAAACATTATCATGGATTTCCCTATCCAACACCAATCTTAGTTTACAATGACTTTATGTTGTTCTCCTTTGACTAAAAAACTTAAAAGGCATACTAATGCTATTTTTATGGATTCAAACTTTAGACCTTGTTATGAATGGATGTTGGGGTTATTTAGGAGAATAATGTTCCGACATGTTTCTCTTAAATACATGATGTTCTGATAGATTTGAGGCATTCTTGTGTTACGAAAAGACATTCTTCTGGTAGGCTTAGACGTTCTTAAATATGTGAGAAATTCATGTATTTAAAAATGGTTATTCACCTAAGATACTGTAAGCATTTAGAATGCGTGGGCAATTTATCAAATAATTTAGTATGAAAGTCCTGAATTAACTCGGATATATCTCATTTATCTTATCTTGGGGTTTAGGAAGGGAATGATGTATGCTTACTTTTCCTTTACCCTAAAGGATAGAGAAGTTGTTTCCGTAAATACCCCAGCTTGTGAAAGCTCATTCATGTTTGGTGTTAATATATATAAAACAAGTTTCAAGATACAACTTAATGACTCAACATTAGAAACTTCATTACTATCTATAAAACTTTGTTATTAGTTATATCAAGCTAGAGGCTTTATCTCCTTTAGACATTCTTTAGCTGGTGCTAACTCTTGCATTGGAGGCCTAAAAATCTGTTGTGTATATTCATCATATTTTAAATGAACAGGAAATCATGAGATAGAACATATGTACTTTTTCTTTTAGAACTGCTAAACATGTTACTCAAGCACCATACCACCATTGATGTCACTGGCAAAAGCAAAAGTGCCAACTTTACTCCACTATGCCCCCATTCCTTTATATATATATATATATATATATATATATATATATA